TCTCAAGCCACTTCTCCAGCCTCGATCTGATCATTTCTTAACACCACAAATGATGTATGTCTGATCAAGGTGACGATATACATCTCTTGCCAAGAGACTGGTGACTGTAATGACAGCCAACACAATGGGAAAGATTGGGACCAGCTGGAGAGTCTTCAGGGGTGGCTATAGTGATTCAGGGGCTCGAAGGAGTAACACCACTGGGACACACACACACACACACACACTCTTCAGGGCTGCTGCTGTTGCTGCTCCTGGGATCACACTTTTGAGACCCATTGCCCATTTATTACTGCAGTCCTTCAAAAATCCATTTCAAAGCATTCTAAGACTGCTTGTTTTCACATCATTGTCTAAATCACTCTACTGTCTCTGTCCTTTGACAAAGGCACTTCTTTGCACCTCTGTCTTACTCACTTATCCTTTGAAATTCTTAATATCTTTGTCACTTAAAGCTGAAATACATGCACAGGCTTGAAAGGGACTGGGTGCTCTGGTATAGATATGGTCTCATTCTCATACCAAGCTGAAGTGATAGCACATGACAGAGAGAAAATGGTGGGGATGGGGACAGCGACCTGTGTAAGTCGTACCTCTAATAAGTTGAATCATCACCACCAGTACTGGATGACTGACATTGGACGTGTGTTAGACAGTTTCACCTTTCACAAACAGGACGCATTTCCACAAACTCTTTAAATCTTTGTGTTCTTTTACTCGAATGGTAAGTAGAGTAGTCCTATTTGCATAAACATGTTAATATGCGGCCGATTGATCTAGGCCTTCTCAGTGGCGTTTAAGTAGCCAATTCTGCGAGCTTCTTAGTGGTAACCATATTGAACAGCACTGGGTATCAGGATAACTTAACTACCTTAGCTATGAACTATGATGATTCCTGGAGATAAAGGTAGTTCTATACTCGGGAGTGAGCCATCGGGGAATCTGGTTTTTCCGTGGTGGAAAGTACACTTCTACAACTAGCTGGTGCCTAACATTTTGCAAGTAAAACTTCATTCCTTTGGCTTAAGGCTTTTCCCCTGTCAAAATGTGAGCAACCCTCAAAAGAGACAGCATTAAGCCTCAAAACCGCAAAGTAAATGAATTTATCCCTTTCCTGAGAGCATGTTTTTTTTAAGAGGAGGAAAAGAAAGCAGGAGGCACTGAAGAGCCCGTACTGAGACAAAAGGACTGGAGAGCATGGAGCAGAAAGAAAAGAGGCAGACCCCGCCCCATTCACTGTTTGGCTGCAGGGCTACCCTGGGGGTGTCCCTACTGACATGGATGCTAACTAGCCAGGAACAGCAGGTTGCTTAGAACTCCACTGTTTTCTGAAAATACTGAAGATTCTTTAATGCATAGGCATACAATTCATTCTAGCAATGAATGGAAAAATAGCAATAAAACATTTGGTGCGACAATAGCTGGGGAGTTATCCTCCCCAAATCAGAAAAACCGTACTTGGAAGAAGAGAAACTGATACTACTTTACAGAGTGCAAATCGCAGGGCTGGGTCCAGGGTAAGGCACTTGCAGGGCCCTGAGAGCAGGCGCCTCCTTAAATTTTGCACCCTCGGCACCTCAGTCGCCTCACCCTAGTCCCGGCCCTGGCAAATCATAGTAAAGTGAAAGCTCACCATGGTGTCACAGACTTGGCAAACACAGAAGGCTGAACCAGTGAGGAACAGAGCACTGAGCATGAGCTCGTCTTTTTCCCAATTAGTTCAGGGTTGAGGAAGAGGACAGGTGTGTGGGCAGATCCGCTCAGAGTGATAGGTAGAGAGATCGCAATTGGATCTGTGTTGTTTAGGTACTTAGGGTGTCAGTCAAAATGCTTGTTGGGAGAGCCTTGGAGACTCTCCTGTCTTTGCACATTGATTAAAAGGGATAAATTATCCAGATCTGATGGTCAACTTGTGATCAGTAAGCTAATATGAACTAGCTGACCACTGGTGGCCGTGCCTCCTTCGTGGTTGAGCTGTTGTCTAGGGATGGAGTTCGTGATGTTGGGATGGAGGGACATGTTGGGGGCTGGAGGGAGGCCCGGGCAGGTCAAGCAGTTCAGGCAAAGGAGAGGAAGATGCCAGAAAGCCAGCCTTTGTGCGGACACTAACTTGCTCTCTAGTCCATACTCAAAGCACAACCATGCAATGAATACCACCAAGTGCAATGTACTCTCAGACACCCATTAACCACCTCTCTTGGGGGGTGGCTCTTTCTACTCCTGACTAGGTTGAAGCCACTCTAGTCGAGTCCCCTGTTGCTATTGGTTGGAATTGGAGGGAAACAAGGGGAAAGGACCACTTGAAGTGAAAGCTGACCAACCGGGGCCTAGTTCATTTCCCTCCAACCTCTTGTACAGTATATCTTTAGAGATAAATTTCATCATTATTTGTACAAGCCAGAGTAGTGGTGGCAGCTTCTCTGGAAGCCTTCCTGAGAGGGGCAACAAGCCCCTCTCAGCCTGGCCTTTCCAGCCTGGGCAGGCAGAGTAGGCCCAGAAGGCAGCAAACACTATGGTGGGGGGGCAGAGTGAGCTGGTGTTCCCACAATCAAGGGCAGGAAATCGCTTGAGTGTTAGGGGCAGGAAAGATGATTTACGTTAGGAAAGGTGTTACGTTAATCAGTGACTGGTGGAAGTTTGTTCCAGTTTGGTTATTTGTTTTGCAACTAGGCCCACCTACTGCAAAATAATAAATGAATATTTCTAGTCTTAGATGTTATCTCTGACTGTATAATCTCTGCCTCAAATCCTCTTGTGCCAGTGAGGACACCACTTGGCATTCGAGGGCCATAGAGGTGGTACAGATGTCCTAAAAGTTCTAGGCATACAGAGTTTTGTAGAGGAAAGCAAGAATCCAGGTAATTGAAACACATCTGGGCATTCAGCTTTAGAAGCTTTTGGGGAAACCTCCAGAGGTAGCAAGATGAGGGGAGAGGCAAAATCCACTGGAAGTAATAAGGAAACTTCAGAAATATCAGCAAAAGCAACAACTCTTAGTCTCTGTGGCCCCGTACTCACACTTTAGATAAAGCTCACTATGCATGATGATGCCCAGGGAACAGGCCCTGGCAGCCCTTCACTTTTGTTAGGCAAAATCACAGCACTTTTATTTCCCTACAGAGGAAAGCGCTCCCATCTTTGGAACTCTGAGTCCAGGGCAGATAAGTGTGGCATTCATATACAAACTAAGGCCAGGCATGAATCATTTTATTTCAGGCAAAACCCTTGACACTTGGTTAAGACCTTCAAACCAAATAGTTCAAATACTTTCAAAAGCAACTGGTATTTCCCTAGTTGTCTATTATTTTAAGTGGCTTCTTTCTAAATTAGAGGGAAGTACTGATTGCAAGGGACTTGGTGGGCTGGTACTATTTGAATTAGTCTAGAATTCAGAACCAGACCAACCAAAGGCCTAGACCTAAGGCTTCTATGTGAGAGGCCCCAGTCTTCTCAGTACTCAGTACTCAGTGGGGTTTTTCAGCTGCTTTGTCTAAGAGCTTGCTTCTCATTAACAAGGAATGTCGTGACCTACCAAAATGGTGACCTGTTTGTCTCTGAAATGCTTACTGCATCCTCCAGAAGATTGACTAATGAATCTGTTGGGTCGAGGGTGAAGGAGAAAAGGTCAGGGAGCCCTGCTTGTGAAGAAGACTACAATTTCATTTAACTTCCTTTTGGCCTCTTGGGACCAGCAGACTAACTTTCCAACCCTGGTCAGCAGGTTTTCTTTGATCAGTGCTTCATCTGTCTTGCCCCCAGACGCCTAGAAATCAGGCATACGGAAATGAAACGAACCATTGCTCTTGCTCTGCTTAGAAAATTAAGCTGACAAGAATAGTTAGCTTTGGAGGGGAAGGGGTGATGATAATTGTTCTGGAACTCTTTCAGTATTCCATTTAGTTCTTACATTCTCCCCCAGCAGAAAGTTGGTCAAACAGCAGAACATAAGTGGGAAAAAGTAGCCCTTTTTTGTGTTATGGGCCATAGCAACTTGTAAGGCTGCCTTTTAGATTTGGATAGCTACTTTTAGTATAGGTTCTTGGTTTTTGGAACCAAGTCAGAATTCCTTTAAATAAAATTCAGTCAACAACAAAGAGCGATCCGAACTGAACCAAAGTAAGTGCAAGCACTTACTTTCTATCTTCCTTGAGCGTTTGATGATGCCGACCCTTCACCTAATTACTTCCTGTAATGAATGTGATATGCAAATGAAATGAGTTCTTGGAGTGCAGCATGAGCTGGGCACAGATCTTGGCTATCCATGAGACACTTGAAGGACCTCAAGGCGCACGCTCAAGTTACCTTAGCTAGATGTGAGTGAGCAAATGTCTTGTTTAGGTGGCTGAGCTTGGTTCATCCAAAGCCGCCCAGTCTTGACCTTTTCTAGCTAGGTTGGGGGAGGGAGTGTAGAAGTTTATTGAGACTCATCACCCTGATCTCCGCATACACAATCAAACTGAAAAAGGCATGAAGGTTCGGGACAGAGTCACACTCGTATTTTGCACCACAAAAGCTATCTGATCAACCCCATGCCGATAAGTGCACACCTGTGAAACGCTCACTAGAGGACAGTCACACTGAGGTTGAGGAGGCCTGGGTGTCTTTCTGTTTCTCCACATAGGGTCGTTAAGGCCTCCTCGGGACAGTGGTACTCTCTGTCTCCTCCCCGCTCCAGTTTCGCAGCCCCCAATCTGGTCTCCTACTGTGCTCCTCAGTGACAGGAGCCAACAGACAGAGCAGCCAGGACACTGATAGAAAAGGTGGCATATGCCCCCTCACATCTGAGAAGTTCTTGGTGCACAGCACTGGGGGAAAATAAGGAATTGGGTAGTCAGTCATGGAGAGGGTAGAAGCGGGGAGATGCAGAATGTCTGAAGATAACTCAGTGCCTGGTGATCTTGGCTCTAGTTGAATTGGCCTCTCTCTGCCATCCAGAGTGAGTTAATGTAAAAGAAATGCAGGCCCTTTTGTTATTCTGTGGTTCCTTTTTCTTCCTCCTTCTCTACTCATGTCTAGTAAGTAACCCCTGCTGGTTGAAGCCAGGGTTTAGGTACTGGGGTTGTCGGTGGTTTCATAGTCTTTTGAAAACTGTGCGATGATTCTGCGAGCCAGCGGGTTAGTGGTCTTCAGCAGCTCAGCTGCCGAGGGGCGGGACCTGGGAGTTGCCTTACTTCCCTTCTTCTGAAGCAAGGCCTTGAAATCATCGTTTCTGCCAGCGTCTAGGCTGGCACTGCCACTTGGCCCTGTGGTGGGGGCAGCAGACTCACTGATGGGAGAATCAGCCGTGTTCTTCACTGGCGAGTGGGAGCTTGGCTTGCTGCCTGCAAAGCTCTCCCCAGGCTCCTTCCAGCCCAGCAGCTTTCTTTTGGACCTAAGTAAGAGAAAGTCTGATCTGAGTGAATTTGGGGAGCAGACATTTAGCGATGCTTCACAGAACTCCCTGCTAGGGACATGGTCAAGAACATGTGTGTGACAGCCTTGCAAGTGTTGTGTTGACTGGCTTTCTCTCTCACCTCTAGCTCCCCAGGTTCCTTGTTGGACCTCCTGTCCTCCATAAGCCTTTCTTATGGAGTCACTTGGCTTGGCCTGTGGCTCAGTTTTCCCCAGTTCTGGGACCAAGGGCAAATTTAAGCAGTCAAGGCTAGTAGGCGCAGTGACTGAATCAGGCCAGCCTAGGGGCTCATCCTGTTCTTAACTGGTGTTCCAGTTCCGGTAACTAGGCTCTTATATCCAGGATCCTTGTCACCAAGCCCCTGCCTTGTGCCCCTGAACTCCATCTGCTGTCCCTGTGCCTAAGCCCCTGTTTTGATATGCCTCCCAGTGCCACACATCATCTCTTGATGGGATTTTGTGGTACCAGGAATTCTGTGAAGGGTTAAATGTCTCTGACTGCAGACAGAGCTGTGAGAGAGCAGATGGAGCTACAATAGGCCAAGCGGTTGCTAGGAGACCAGGGGCCTCTCTCAGCACCTGGTCCACCCCTCCCCTCCCCTCCTCCACTTCACCCAAAGACATCAGTGAATTCGAGATGTGAGGCCCCAGACTGTGCTCACATATGTGGGTGTCTGGACTTAATCTCCAGGGACAATTCTAATGGTTGCTTAGAGGTAGAAGTTTTTCTTTAAGTAGAAAAAGGGAAGGCAATTGCAACTAGAATGAAGGCAAAATGGTCCAAACCTGTGTATCACAGTAAATAAATCTTCAGTTGTGCGTGAAGCCACAAACACGTCATCATCCTCCTCCGCAATCCATTCGGCTGTTTTATCACTGATTAAACTTTTCTCCTCGGTGCCTGGTTCCACAGAACTCCCTAGACATAAGAACCAGAAAGAAGGACCTTGAGCACAACAGGTAGGGCAAAGCAAATGCACTCTCATATGTTATTTCATCTGGTGGACTGTTCATTTGCTGAACATTCTCATATGCTATTTCCAGCAACTCTAGAAGGGCAGCAGGGTGGAGATTTTTCACATCTCCATTTTTCAGAGGAGGAACAAGAAGTTCCCAAGGTTAATGATTTGCTCACGGTAGAGTGAGGAAGATTGGCCCAGGTCCCTGTTCTCACGAGCCTTTTTCATTATAACAGGTGGTCTGAGCATGCTCTTGTTTTCTTTTTATAGTTATTTATTTATTTGGTGCTGGGGATGGAATCCAGGGCCTTGCACATACTAGAAAGCTCTCTATCACTGAGCCCTACTCCCAGCCCTGCTCTTGTTTCAAATATACTGTTTTTAAAAATCAAGGAGCTGAGAGCAATCTAAAGCAGTGACTCTCATGTCTGAATCTCAGAAGGAGCTGGTGAAGTCCGAGACAGCATATTCTAAAATAACCTGTGGCTTTGACATTTTTGCTTATTTTAGTTACAGCTTAAAGAAGGTCATGAGATTTTGATGTTTGGTGCTAAGGGTTCAAAAAGGATGAGAAGCATGGATGAGCCTTGATGACATTAAGTAAAATAAGTCATTCACAAAAAAAAGACAACTCCTGTATGATTCCATTTATATGTGGTACCCAGAGTTGTCAAATTCATAAACTCCAAAAAGTAGAACAGTGTTTCTGCCCCCCCTCACCCCAGGGGAGTAGCTGTTTAAGTGGTATGGACTTGCCAGGCACCATTGGCTCTCGCCTGTAATCCAGCTAATCAGGAGGCAGAGATCAGGAGGATTGTAGTTCGAAGCCAGCCCCGGACAAGTAGCTCAACAGATCCTATCTTGAAAATACCAACACAAAACAGGGTTGGTGGAGTAGCTCAAGTGTGAGCCTAGAGTGGCTAGAGTGCCTGCCTAGCCAAGCGCGAGGGCCTGAGTTCAAACCCTAGTACCCCCCCCAAAAAAGGGGGATAATTGGCTTTCATTCTTGCAAGATGAAATAAGTTCTGGAGGTGGGTTCTCAACAATGTGAATGTACTAAAACACTAATGAACCGCAGGCCTAAAATGGTAAATGTTATGTGCATTTTACAATGAAAACAAAAAGACATAGGAACAAATAAAAAGGGTGAGAATCATTAAGTAGGCCAGTCTTATGGTTTAAGAAGACCAAGCCTCAAACTATCCAAGGAAGTGAGCTCTTTTTCCTCTGGAAGGCACCAAGAAAGGCTGCAGGCAACAATACAGTCCAATGTTTCCGCAGCCTCCAAGCCTGCCATGGTCTCAGAGCATACTTAGAGCAGCAAATGAAAAGTACTACATGGTGAGTCCTAGGGTGGGGGATGCAGGCCTGGCAGGGTAGATGGGTCCTGAAGTCCGAGTATGCCAAGGCCTAGTTTGATTTTGTATCACAGCACTTGAGCCATGGGTAGGCTGGCCCAGATTTGGCCTTGGAGAGCTGGGTGCCCCAGGTCAGCCCTGATGCCAAGGGCAGAAAGGCCAACCTGCAGTTCCTATTCAGAGTAACCCAAACCCACAGAGGTGTCCTCTACTGATTGGTCATCCTGAGATGAAGATGATTATTCTGGGGCATCTGCTTCTGTCTCTGGCACTTGGCCCTCACCCTTACTCTCCTCCCTCCTGTGACTGAAAGAAAAAACCAGCAGGCAGTTTACTAACCCGGAGAGTTTGCCTCTTCTTCGTTGTCAGCCTGTGGAGCTGAAGTCATTCTTTTACCAGGTGATTGCAGGTGGTCGCTGGCAGGGGGACACTTGGCATCTTCCTCCAGGGTGATGATGGGGCTAAGAGGCAGTCTTGGTTCTGCCACAAAGGCCTCCATCTGAGCTACAGGGGAGGTGAGAGGCAGGTACAGCACGCTGGGCTTTTTTGGTACCGGAGGTGGAATCTTGCCTGTCTTTTTCTCAGCTTCTTCCTGGCTCTGGAGGCTAATTCTTTCAGGCAGGGCTCTCACCTTGGAGCCCTCATCCTCCATACTTGCCTGGGGAGACTGCTGTGTTCCTGAGAAGAGTGCACCAGAGGAACTGGCAAAAGGCGTGAAAATGAGAGATGAGGGTGCTGTTGACTCCCCTGGGCTCCGGCCATCGGGGAAGTTGGAGGACTTTGGTTTCCGCAACACTGTGTAGCTGTCTTGGGGGAGTGGCCTCATGTGTTGAATGGAGCTCTTGGGGGTCACAGCCAAGGTCGGTGAAGTTAGTGGGTACTCCTCAGGGACAGATGGTGGCTTATGCACCAAACTCGAAGGCCTTCGGGCCAGAGGAGGTTTCTCGGCTATGGGAGGTTTCACCTTTCTCTCTGGCAAGGTGAAGACTTCTTCTGCTCCTGGTTCCTCAGGGTGGTCTGGGCTCTCAATGTCATCTTCTGGCTCGGACTTGCTGACTGACCTCAGGCGAACAGAACGGAGGTCAGATTGAGTAACCATGGGCATGATTGGCTGGTTGGGACTCGTTTTCTGTGCCAGCTTGGCCCCAAAATTGGTATCGAAGTGATGGCGGCTCACCTTGGTTTTGCTGCGGATGGAGATACTCATCCCAGACAGATCCAGGTTGGTTGAGGAGGTCAACGGTAGGTCAAATGACAGCCGTGACTTGGACATTTTCTCCATTGGTGATGTTGGGGGCAGTGACGACTTCCTCTCGGGTACCACCGGACGTACCCGGACACTGCTACTTGGAGGGGGTAAGTGGCCCAGGGTCAATGACATGGAGACTGTGGGTGTAGGTGTCTCTGACTGGCTGGAGTATCCACTGGAGGGTGACATCAGTCCAGTGGGCCTTCCTGGGGAGGATACCTCCCTGGCCTCCACCTCAATGGAGAGCTGAGAAGGCGTCGTGGCTCTGGAGGTGGAAGGGGAGGCCAGAGACTCTGAGCTGCCTTGAACTTGAGTGCACTCGATGACTGTGGTGCCAGTGGCAGTACTGGAGCTGGACAAGGATTGGTAGGTGTCACCAGACTTCCAGTCAGAAAGATACCAGTGGTGGGAGAATTGTGTACCATCTGGATCTTTGAGGGTTGGCACTGCTGGGTGACCCTGAGCATCTGCATGGGATAAGTGATGTCCTTGGTGTTCCAAGGAGAGGCAAAGGCTTCTGGGCCTCTGGTCTTTGGGCAGCACTGACCCACCTTCTGGCAAGAGGACTGGCTCATCTTTGACCAGCGAGACACTGCGCATCGGTGGGGAAGGCTTCTTTTTGGCCTTCTTGAGTGAGATGCTTTTGGATCTCTGCCTTCTGTGCCGTGCTTCCTGCTCAGCACTGAGAGACGTAATGTTGTCAGCACTGTTACTGCCTTCGGAGCTTGTCCTGACATAAGGCAGGGCACAGGCTTCACTAGCCTTCTGCTCCTCGTCATGGTCCACAGCTGTGGTACCTGAGTCTGTGGGCACTGACAGTGACCGCTCCCGGAATCTGCTGGGTCCACCTGGGCCTGTCTCCAATCTGGAGGTACCACTAGTCAGAAGGCCAATCTTGGGGGGTCTTTCTGGTGCTTGCCTTCGTTGAGTAGGATGCTCAGAGTAGCTGGCTAACCCACTGCATCCTGCTGGGTTATCACGGGTGACAAAGAGAGTAGCCGCCTCCTTAGGAACCAGAGGTGGGAGTGTGTTCACAGAGACCCAAGAATTCCCCGAGGAAGGATTTTTTCCATTTTCATTGATTTGGTTGCTCTGGTTGCTGGCACTTGGAGTCATGTAAGTAAAAGCATCTCCCTTCCAGGAAGGGGAGAACGTTGACTCTGATGGTCCATTGCAAGAACTGGGGACACTGTACACCATCCCTATGCCCTCCATGCCGGGAGGGTCTGGGCCACCACGTGTCTGGTGAGTGTCTCTGGGCTCACTAGAAGGATTTCTCAGTCCTGGCGAGGTGAGATTTGGAAACCGAGCTTCCTGCCCAACGGCAACTCTTCCATGAACAACTTGAGAAGCTGAGTGGCTGAGCCTGGCCTCTGAGGTGGCAAAGTGGGCCGCACAGCCTGCTGGACTGTTGCTGTGACCTGCAGGAGGAGGAAAACACAGAACATTAACAGTGCAAGCCAGGGATTCCCCCATCAGCTGTCTCGAGACAAGAGCACCAACTTTTTGCCAAGAAGCATTTGCCAACAGCTTGGTCAGAATTCCTTGGTTCTTCCTTTTCACAGCTGAGGATGCTGGAGAAATTGGGTTCTTGCCCATCACCACACAGTGAGTCACAGGGTGCCCTTGAATCGTCCAGATGGCTGCCAAAGACTTAACAGATTTGACGATTCCTTTCAGAGTGGAAGTGTCACATGGGACTACTTTGGATTCTCCCCATACGTTCTCCTCAGGCTCATGAAACCATCACAGAACTCAGTGTTCACCAATCCTGAGATGGGGGCAGAGGATTCCAACCTAAGGACAGCATGGTGTGACTTGCAGCCCCAGTAGTGAGCCTGGAGTAGGCCAGAATGGAACACTAAGAGCCTGGTTGCATTTCTGGCATCTGTCACTCCTTACCTTCAGAACAAAAGACTTAGGATCACCTACCAATACGAGGCCACCATTCAGATGTTCCCAATCTCCAGAAGCTTCCTCATATATACAATTATGTAGTATCATTATTATTACTATTGTTATCATAATTTATAGTAATAGCCACAATTTGTTGACTGGTAATTACATCTCAGGCACATGGTCAGCAGATTACACAAATGGCTCTAATCCTCACCATGACTCTCCTGGGTCGATATCATTATTCCCAATTTACAGATGAAGAAGCTGAGGCTCAGAGTGGTTATATAACTTGGTTAAGGCCTTATGAAGAGGTCTGTGCATTTCTTTTTTTTTTTAATCCTAGGCTGTGGATAGAACCTAGGTCCTTGAATATGCTAGGCAAGTGCTCTACCACTAAGCTACATTTCCAGCCCAGGTCTACGCTGATTGGACAGCATTCACTGCATGGTAGAAATGATTCTGTTGAGATGAAAGTTTTAGTGATGATCCCTGCCCTTTTATCTGTTTGCCTAATTTGGCATTCTGTGGCTATATTACATTTATAATGGAAAATAATGTACTGAATTTACTAGCTTGGGAAACCTACTTTCCATACACAGTTGCTGACCTTGACAACAGGCCCTTGGTTATCCTCAGTTGTTACCACATTGGTTCTCTCAGGATGTTCAAAGCCCTACTACCCCAAATTATTCCTGTTCTGCATTACCACAACACCACTGGGTGGCAGGGTTGGTGGGGACAGGCCAGGGGGTGGGTCTGGGGGATCAGCTGTGGTGGGGTCACCTTGGTCTCGCTGAGAAAAGTTAGAGAATCCAATAATGGTCCGCCTCCGCCTCAGGGTGGATTTGGGGTTCACGGCTGTCTCTGTGTTAAACAAGGAGTGTCGCAAACTTGCATGTTTATCAAACTGCTGCCCTGTAGCCAAAATAAAGACACTTGGGTGCATCCTGGTTTCAGTTTAAAGTACAGTGGAAACTGGCCTGAAGTAGAGAGAAGGGATGATGGCAGTAGCAATAAGCATGAGTAGCATCCAGGCAAGTGGCACTTCTTCCCCCCATCCCTCCCAATTTGGCGCTGGGCACACATGCTAGGTTTCACAAGCTTCTCCCAGGTCACCCATGTAAGTCTTAGGTGGACTGGGGCAGTGGTTTACAACCCTGGCTTCATAGCTAAAATAAAAGCTGGGAAGCTTTTAAAACTCCAATACCTGGACTCCACTCCAGAACAGTTAGCTCTCTGGGAGCAGGACTTAGGTAGAATCATTTTCTAGATGTTCTCAGGTTTCCAGCCAGGGGTGAGAACCATAGGTTCAGAGTAATGGGCTGAGACTGGATGTTATTTCAGTATGATTTTATTTACTTTATTTTTTTGCCATGCTGGGGATCTATCCCAGGGTTTTGTACAGGCTAGGCAAGGGCTCTGCCACTGAGTTACGCCCCCAGCCCTTGGTTTTTTGACAGGGTCTTGCTATGCAGCCCAAGCTGGCCTCGAACTTGCAATCCTTTTGCCTCAGCCTTCTGAGTGCTGGGGTTATGGGTCACCATGCCCGGCTTGATTGTGACCTTTCCTCAAAGAAAAGTCTTTATAGGGGCCTGGTGAGACTGGCATCTCCAAGAAGCTGTCTCACTGACCCCCAACATCTAGGAAGCAACCTGATATTCTATCCCATAACTTGATGTTGTCACATGTTGGCTTCTTTGTGGTGACTGAGCTCTGTCTATCTGTCATAAGCCATTGGCCCCTGGGAACTTGCCATGGGGTATGTGGTTCCCCTCCCTGTCTCTCACTCAGCAGCTGGTGAAGCAGACTCTCTCCTCCCAGTCATGCCACTGCACGCCCCTCCATGAACAAAACTTAGGGATGGATGGCCCCATGGAGGTAAGAGAGACATTTAAAGCATCACTTTGCAAGTCTCTCCTCATCCTGGTACATTTCCCTGGGCTGTGGGCTCTTCTTCCTGCCTCTCATTTCTCAAGATGACTCCAGTGGCAGCGGAAGACCCCATATGGAGCACTGCCACATATGGCCAGAACTGTCCTCATTGCCCTTGCTAACTTTTTCCAGGATATCAAGGCCAGTGCTAGCTTGCAGGCTCCCTCCGGTCCCTATGTGTCCCTGCCCTATCTCCTTCTGATAGAACTGGCCCTTTTTCTCTTCCTCCTATAGTCAATGGAGTGGGGAGCAGGAATGAACAATGACATAGTGTGTGCCTGCCTGCAGTCACAGCCAGCTGGGCTCCATATATCTTCTCCCTACTCTCAAGGCCATCCCGGGCACCTTTTGGTCTTCTTGGCTTCTATCTCTTTTTGTTTCTTTCTACTACTTCCCTTTCCTGAAAACCTTGCTGAAAAAGCTGACGAAGGCAGCCTCCTTGGCAGACTTAGTATCTACTGGAAGGGCCACAAGGCGTTGGGTCTGAGTCCAAGCGGAACCCTCCCCTTTACCACCAGCACTCCGCTCTCCCTCCAAAGCGGAGTACTCCAAACCCAGCCTTGGGTGCACAAACAGAGCTCCTAACTTTGTTTCTATGTAAGGTCTTCCTGGTAAAATAACTTTGTTTGCCATCAAAGGGAGTTCCCGGAGGGTGGAGGAGGAGTAGCCACAGCCCCTCTTCTGCACGCCTCCATTCCCCCGCGAGCGCCATGACTGTGACAGTGCAGGGTGAGCTGGTAGCAAAGAGAGTGACCCTCCCTCCCCAGGTCCTGGTGCATTTCAGAGAGGGTGGGCTGTAGTGGCAAGGAGGGAAGGAAACAGGTGGTGCTAAGCAACTCTACCAGAGATGTTGATGGGCACAAGGTCAGACTGTGTAGAGCAGGGCTGAGGCCACCGCTTCTCCTCTAGGACGGGCAGAGGGAAGGGACCATTCCAGGCAGGTGGCTTGTCGGCTGTAGACAGGCTCAGGGAGGCCTCAGGGGCCCTCACGCCCTGGGTGGTAGTCTCATCCTCACTTAGCTGCCGTTTTGCAGGCTGTTGGGAGAGAGGGTGATGGAAAGGGTGTGCTTCTGACTGACAACGAGCCGGCGTGGTGCCTAGGATAGCTCTTTAGACAGGGTGGGTGGTCGGAGGCTTCGTTTTGGAAGGCAGAAAAACTCAGACAGGCTGCCTGGTCTGTGGAGGACCCACTGTGCAGGGCCAATCCCAGTGGAGCCTTGGGGTAGCTCTGCTGGTGAGCAGAGGTGAGCAGCAACTTCCAGTGGGAATGTAAGCAGTTCGAGGTCCCCTGTCAGTGGGTGCACGCTGGCTCTCCCAGGTGGGGGAAGAGGCAACTCACCATCAATACAAACTCCAGACGCCTGGCAGACTGGGGCCTTGGGCTGGGAGTGGGCTCAGGGGCCTCATCAGAAGAGCGGAAGGTCTGCCCCAGAAGTCTGGCCTCCGAGTACTGTTCCTCATATTCTTCTGAAAAATAGCACAGTGGAGACACACTCTAGGGGGCCACGGCCAAGGGCTGGGCTGGGAGAAGACCCCACTTGAGTGTTCAAGGTACAGATACCTTTTGCTACAAGCTTCTCTTTGAAGCTCTTCAGGTTTTCTGCATCTGTGCCAAGGAACGTGTCTGTGTGAAGCAAGAAGAGATCTGCACTGGGAAATCCAGTCTGGAGATCTCTCTTGGTTCCCAAGAACGTTTCTTTTTTTGACATAGTCTCGCTATGTAGCTGAGGCTGGCCTTGAACTTATGATCCTCCTGCCTCAGCCTCCAGAGTGCTGAGATTATGGGTGTGCACCACTACACCTAGATGCAAGAACTCTTACTTGAGCTTCTGTAGGCCTAGTTCCACTGTGGGTGGGGTCAAGTCTAGATAGGCTATGGGGAAGAAGAGGGAAGACAGCGGCATAGAAGAGGGCGAGGTTCACAGGCATCATCAGGAAATAAGAAGGATGTGTAAGATTTGAATGGGTTTGACTGAAACGATGGCTTAGATGAATAAATGAAGAAAGTACACGTAAAGAACAAACACTCATGGCTCTATGTACATTTGAACAAAGACTCTTAGAATCATGTAAACTTGGGCTTGTTCTTAGGGTTCTCCAGTCCAGCACCCCATTCTGTGCTCAGACACCCTCCTCAGCAGCCCTTCAGAATGCTTTTGCAACCTCAGCACACATGCCTGTAAAGAAGGGGGGCTTCCTCCCAAAGAAGGCTCATTCATTCCATGGACAGTTGGGGCTGTCAGCATGTCAGAGAAGTTCTTCCTTATCTGGAGGCAGAATCTGCCTCCCACTGATTTCTACCACTGGTCCTAATCCTGCCTGTGGCAGCAGCACCGAGCACATTGACTCTTACTCTGCATGGTAGCATTTCATTATCTGAACACAACCATCATGGTGTCCCTTGGTTTCTTCCTTCTCTAACATCACCACCACCCGGCAGGAAGCTTAGGGATTGTGGCGGCAGTCCAGCTGGGAGGTCCATCAGCTGTTATCTATTCTCTGTTGGAGTTAACATTTGTGGGCATAGATAAGCAAGTGCTGACAAGACCTCTTTGTGCATTTAGTGCCCACTGGGCACCTCTTGGGGGATCCAGCTCTGAGCCAGGTGCTTCTGGAAGTCCAGGGGTAGTAATAGTTTGTTAGTTTGTTTGTTTGCAGTGCTGGGGATGGATCCCAGGGCCTCTCTCATGTTAGGCAAGTGCTCAACCACTGAGCTACATCCCCAGCCCAGAGGTGTGATTTACATGGAGAAACTGTTTGGTTGGGAGGACAGAATAGGAAACTCTGGGTGCTGTTTATTGAACTTACGCTGGTGAGGTAGTAGCTACCCAGGAGGCATGTGCACCAGGTTATGTCAAGAGCAGAGTGAAGCCCAGAGTGGGAGCCACGCAGATGACCCTTTTGTCTTCTGGTGTCAGGATTCCAAAATCATGGGAGTCTCCCACCCAGCTCCTTGTGTGAAGGGCTTGACCCACTGCCCTGCCTCAGTCTGTCCTTTCCTCTCTCATGGCCTGAGCTGAAAAATGGGGGAGGATGCCCCCCGCCCCCAGTCTTAGAATCATCTGTCTGGAAAGTGGAAGGAAAGATGGAAAACGTATGCTTTGTTTTTCGCTAGGTTTGGAACTGTTCTGTCTTTTTCTCCCCCTGGTCCCTGTCCTCTTTCTTTGCCTCCCTCCTGCTGCTGCGCAGCTCAGCTCGCCTGCGGCTCTGGCCGCAGCCCCCCTCCCTCTCAGTACCTTGCAACAGGCTCTGGAGATTGAGCTGCGCTTCGCGAAGCAGCTCCTCTACACTCGGGGGCCTGCCCGAGGAGAGGAACACGTTCACTGGCTGTCGCCATGACGACCTCGAGTGGGCAGTCGCTGTCGCATTTTCCCGACCCGAGTTAGCTGCAGCTAGGGAAGGAGAGAGTCAGTGAGAGCGCAGCCGAAGGGGTGGGGGGAACGGCGGCCCCAGCCAGTGGGCGCCCGCGGTTCCCGAAGACCCGCCCCTGCTGAGGGGGGGGGGATGCGAGGCTGCGCTTAAAAGGCGGTGAATCGCGGTCCGCAAGATTTTTCCTCGACAGATCGTGCCGCAGTCCGTTCCCTCCCGCTCCGCCCGCCTCTGTGCCTTGGTCCACCCGGCCTCCACCGCCGCTGCCCGTGTCCAACGCCTGACGCCTCCTGGCCCTGAGCCGCCGCCCGCCCTCTCCGATCCCTGCCACGAGGTAACGCGTCCGGGGCCGAGCCGCGGGGCTCCCCGCCCCGATTGCCTGCTTGCCCTCGGTGCTCCCCGGTGGGTGTGGCCCGGTCTCGCTGCGCCCCGCCGCCGCCGCCGCCGCCGCCGCCGCCGCCGCCGCACTTCGGTCTTTCCCGCGCCCCGCTGCCGCATTTCTGCTCCTCCCGCGGACCCTAGCTCCCCGCCCCCACTGTCAGAGTCCCAGAGCCCCTGAGCTAGTCGAGATGTCCGAGGCGGCAGGAAATCTCAATAGTCTTCGCATGGCGAATGTGGCCCTGCGAGAAGAATTAAATGCCCTTCGCGGGGAGAATGCCAATTTGGGCCTGCAGCTCGGAAGAGCTCTGGCCGAGGTTAATTCTTTGCGGGGCAACGTCTCTAGCTACATCCGCTGGCCAGTGCCCATAGTGCCTGTCCTTACTGAGGAGAACTTTGAGTTCCCGCTCAGTGAGACTGACCCCACTCCCGAGGAAGAGGTGCCCTTCCTGTGCTGGCCTCCCCCGCGCACGGATCCCGAGTATGTCTCGGATGATCTTTTGATTAACGTGGTGCAGGACTACACCAACCCCGACGGGTCCACCGACCCTCCTCTGTCGCCCAGTCCGCCTCCGCCGGAGCTGCCTTCCCCAGCCTCCAAGGAGCCGCCCCCGCAGCCCCTTCTGCCACCGCTGGAGCGGCCCGACATAGAGCCTTTTTCGGGCGACCCAGTCTACCTGGCTGAATTTCTGATGCAGCTGGAGACTTTCATAGCCGACCATGAGGATCATTTCCCTGGGGGCGCTGAGCGGGTGGCCTTTCTGATCTCTTTTTTCACTGGGGAAGCTAGGGACTGGGCCATCTCAGTCACCCAGGAAGGAAGCTCCCTGCATGCCAACTTCCCGCGCTTCCTGGATGAAATCCGTAAGGAATTCTGTGGCCCCATCCCCCCACGTGTGGCTAAAAAGGCCATCCGCCAGCTCAAGCAGGGAGACTGTACGCTGGGCAGCTATGCAGATGCTTTTCAATTTCTGGCTCAATTCTTATCTTGGGATGACTGCCGCCTCCAAAACCAATTCCTCAAAGGCCTGTCGGAATTCTTCCGAAAGGAGCTCTTATGGTCCACTGAAATGGCCGACTTAGATGAGCTGATTCTTGAGTGCGTGGAGATAGAAAGAAAAGTACGTGTTCCTAAGCCAATCCCACTCCCTGGTGTTCGCAATGTCTTCTTCCCTTTTGCTCCCAACCCTAACGAGGATGAAAATGAAGATGAAGAGCGCTGTAGTGAGGGTGAAGATGGAGAGGCACGCAGGCGCAGGCTTTACCTGAAGGACCAGCGGAAGCACATGAGGGCTTTCCGGCAAGAGATGAGAGAGGAGGAAGAGAGGAGGAAGGAAGAAGAAGAAATGAAGGAGGAGGAGGACGAGGGCGATGAGGGGGAGGAGGATGAGGATGAGGAGGATGAGGACGAAGATGAAGATGAGGATGAGGAGGATGAGGATGAAGATGAGGAGGAGGAAGAAGAAGAGGAAGACAAGGAGATGAAACAGAAAGAGGAAGAGGAGATGAAGAAGAATGAGGGTGATGGTGAGAATAAGGATGAAGATGAAGAAGAAATTGAAGTTGGAGGCCAGGAGCCAGAGCAGGAGCCAGAGCGGGAGGAGATTCACCACGCAGCCCATCACCACCACCACCACCACCACCACCATCACGGCCTACCGGAGGAGCTGATGGAGATGGAGGAGCCTGTCCTTGTCGACACTTCAACCCAGACTATTACCTCCACAGTTGGCTACCATGCTGAGAATTTCCTGGGTGTGTCACCTCCCATAATACATTCCAGCAGACGGAGGAACCAGAATCGAGTCCCACTTCTGGAGGGCCTTCCAGGTACCAACTCACCATTCTATAGCTCGCCACCACTGATTCGCCGTGCAGGTCGTTTGGGTCAACGCCAAATTCGAAGACGCCCCCCGGTGCTATTCCGCCTCACTCCAAGACAGGGGGGCCACCGAGCTGCTCGCGGCCGAATTCGCGTGTGAGTGCAGGGGCGAGTTGGCCACCCGGAACACACCCTTCTACTGTGTCCCCCGCCCCTGCTATTGCTGCCACACCTGCCCCATCTACTGACCAGTCCTTGAGGGAGATCCAGACCTGCAGAACCTGAAGAAGACCTGCAAAATCCAGACCATCTTGCAACCATGACCAGAGAGTGACATGTGCCCAACCAAGGCCACCTGGGAAAGGAGAGGTCAGCAGTAGCTGTCCCTGTGCTGTGTGTTCTGCTCAGTCCTGCCACAAGCAGGAGAGCAGGTTTCTGGGCTTATTCCCATAAATGAACTGGTCACCCTTTTGTCTACCCCTCTAGTTGTTCCCAATCCTCACCTCTCCTGCGTTTCTTCGCCTTGTTCTACAGTTTTACTCCTCCAACTGGCTCACCAGGACCTCACCCAATGCCTCACTGATTTGTCCCAGTGATTGAAAGGACAGGCTACACTGAACTCCGAAAGCCACTGAGGCCACTTTCTAGATATAGTTGATGGCAAGCAGGATGGCACCAAGAAACATACAGGAAGCCTATACTTGCTTCATGCCACACCTCCAGCAGAAGGGCCTGGAAGAGGACCCTACACCTAGCCCAGTGACAGTTCGCAAGGCCACAGGTCAAATGGACACTTTGAGATTTATTTGTCCCTGGCTGACAGTGGCAGGCTGGATCCACTTCCAGCCTTCCCTTAGACACTGTATCAGGGCCCTTGGACCAGCTTGACCAAATCTGGGGCCCTCTCCTCTTACCACACTGCTCTCGATACCCCTCTGCTGATAGAGCTCAACATGGCTGGCTCCACCCCTTTCCTTGATGTTTAAGCATAGACACTTAGCGCAAGAGGAGGAGGAAGAGGCAGAAGAAGCAGCAGCGTAACTCAGTTTGACATCCCAAGGAGTGGCTCTTGTCTTAGGGACAGGAACCTCCTTCCCCTGCCAGCTTTTGAACTGCAGCTCCCAGCCAAAAGCCTCTGGCTTTGCATCCTCGGGTCACCACCACTGAGGAGGAAGGCCTCACTCTTTCCAGGACAGACAGAGCGCAAGGGCCCATGGCCCACTCGGACTGCTCGTTAACTCCCTCTGACTTGGGAGAGAAGAGGGCTGGCGCTGCCGAGACTGCGCCCACTGCAACCTTGCAGGGGGACACCTCCAGTGGTTCTCACCTGGGGTCAACCCCTGGCTTACTGCTGGTCTAGGGGGTGACTGCCTCCTAGGTACTCCTGGGACTTCTGGGCACAAACCCAGGTGCCCTTACAAAGAGACTTGCTGCTCACCTTGGGTCCAGGAAACACTGCTTCTGTAGTGAAAAGTACATTTACTATGTCATCTCTCCCTCAAAATGCCAGCTAAATCCACTGCTGGCCCAGCTTGCTCCTGAACACTGAACTTTCTGTGCAGTGCCCGACAGCTGGGCACATGCAGCCCAAGTGTCTGTGGCCAGAGGGAAGAAAACACCATAAACGGAGCCTCTGTTCCTCACTGGAGTCTGACACATAACCTCAGCCCAGCCTTAGGATTTTGAGCCTGGAGGCCAGAGGAAGGAGCTGGAAGAAGAGGAGTCACAGACAGACCCAGTCCCCAGACTGGTTTCGGGTGAGATCTCTGTTCATCAGAAGAAGGTAAGATACCTTTTTGTTTATCACTTTTTTTTCTCAGCCCCTGTTGCTACCTTTTAAAAAGGTCTCCTGAAGAGAAGAGTAATACACAGACATTGTAGAAAATGGAGAAAATTTTAAGGATAAAATACCCCCAAACATTCAGAATCCCACCACACAGACGCAACACTTGCTGCCTTTCCTTCTAGTGTGTTCTCACTGCCTACTTTCAAAGCTGAGATCATCCTGCTAGTCCCCACCAGCAGGATTTAAAATGGCTGCCACCTATACAGTCATGCACACTGGCTCATTTATTTAAGCATCTGCTAATTTGTCAGACATTTCAATTGTCCGGTTTTCCCTGTTCCCACTGGGGCAGGAGTAGATAACCTTGTGAAGATAGTTTTGTCTGTTTTTCAGCTTATTTCCTCAGGAGAGAATTCCGGAAGGGGAACTGCTATTCTTCAAGGCTGTGGACCCTGTTTGCTGATGTCAACCTGCTGGCTCTGCTGCACATGTGCTTGTGGAGATGTGCAAAGGACAGGTGCCTTGCACCCCCCACTTCCAGGGACCTCTCAGCACAGGCCCTGCCTGTTCCCATGGTGCTTCTCTGAACCCTTGTAGCCTCAGCCAGGGAGAGAGTGGATGAGCAGTGAGCTGGTTTCCGGGCCTCTGGGGACAGAGGGGGCTTGGGCTTCCCTGTGACCCTCTCCCCACTTTCCCAGATCGTCAATATTTATTGTGATGTGACAGCCACAAGAGCTATAAAAAGAACTGTGAGCTTTGGGTGCTTCCTTGGGTTGAGAGATGGGTGGGGGGGGTGGGGGGGAAATGCATGCAGGGGACTGGGGGCAGCCCAAGGATTCCCAGAGACCCGGGACAAAATCCCTTTGAAACAAATGTGTTATTGTTGTTATTGTATTATTGTTGTATCACTGTGTTGTGAAGATAAGAAATTGCTCTGTAACGCTAAAGCTTTCTCTCCTCAATAAAAATATAAAGGGTGTGTGAAGATCGTGTCTGCCTGTGTTAACTGGGCAAGCACAGATGGGGAGCAGTAGTCATCTGGTGCTTACTTCCTAGGCACCTCGGCTGAATCAGCACTAGCCTGGAGCCTTGAAAATCCTTGCATGAGGAAACTAAGGCCCAGCAAGGCTTAGGGGATATGCCTACATTCTACGCATGTGTGGGTGGCAGAAGTTGTTAGGAAGGAAGTGGAAGCACCAGGCATATTGAAAAACAGCATTAATAACACACACACACACACACACACACAAAACTTTGGAGTGTAGAGGGAGGGAGGGCCCTTCCACTTTGGGGCACTAGGTGGCGCTATGGGACGCCAGTGAGCAAACTTGTGAACAGTTGGACACAAATCCCTAGAGATCTCCCTGCTCCTCACAGACTGTGGGGTCAGAAGAAACTGAATCCCATTCCAGGACTTGCCCATATTTCCCAGACGTGAAGAGGATGGGAACGCTTGTTGAGCTCCTACTAGTTGTGAGGGCTGTATGGGGCACTTTAGGTTTATCATCCTATTTCAACCCCATTACCATCCTGAGGCACCATTCACACCCTCATCTTCACGATAAGGACACTGAGGCTTAGAAGTCACTGCCCACAGGGTCAGCTAGTGAGTGGCTCCTTCACAACCCCGTCCATTAGTCAGCTCCAGGGTCACGGCCCCTCTCTGTCCCCCACTCAGGTGTCTTACTGTCTAGCATGCCAGGTTGGTGTCTTGCTTCCGCTGTACCATGCCTCCTCTCCAAACCTGTAGGATTCATAAGCACATTTGCCTTGGCCCTCGGAGAGGAAGAAAGGAAAGGGGAGGGTAAGAAGGAAACGCGTGATTCTGATCATTGCTAGGCTTTGCCACAACCATTCACAAGGCAGGTAATGTGTGCCTTCTTTTAGAGCTGAGAGACCTGGGGGCAAGTGCACTGTGTCAAGTGTGCTGTTTTTGGAGACTCTGAGGGAGCCATTCAGGTGACAGTTCCATCCTGCAAGGAAGCACCCGGCCAGCTGGGCATGGCAGTGCATGGGGGTTCATTACCCCTTCTGGGGAGATTGACAAGGGTATAGGGCCATGGGCTGTCCCCAGTGAGCACTGGGGCTCCCTGTTAGACTTCAGGGGGTTCAAACAAAGTCTCCAGGACCCCTGGGATTACTCATGATGTCACAGGTGAGGGTAAGTGAGGCCAGGTCATGTAATAGCCAATCATTGCAGATGGGGGCACAGCAAGAAAAACAAGGGCTGAAGCTGGAAGCACTGCGGAGAAGGCAAGAAAGCCTGGGGTTCTAATCCAGATCCACCACCAACTCCATTTGGGATCTTGCACAAGTCTCATCTGCTCTTAGGCCACACCTTCCTTACTTGTTTAGTCTACAGGACCAGCATATGTGATACACAGTAGGATCGCCACACCACTTTGGTACGTAAATGAATAAGTGGGCGAATAAGTGGGCCACTGGATGGAGACCTAGAGGCAGCCTACCGAGAGCATGTGCAGATCGTGTGAAGCTTTAGAAGACTAGAAGATTCCATCCAAAATGGAATCAGGAGTCAAAAACCCTCCCTCACCTGGAAAGATGTATCAACATGGCCTTTATTAAGGGCACAGGTGAGATCTTGTAGGCAGGTTTTGAAGTCAACTGCAGAAGCCTGGGGAGGGGTGAGCTGGCTTAGCAGAAGCTTGTGAAGAACATGTGATGGTGGGAGTGGGAGGGCTCGGTGTGCCTGGGCAGCATGGCGGCGCTGTCGGAGATAATAATACTTTCCTGGAGCACGGCCACCACCCAGAGGTGGGCAGGCCCCACCTGGAGTCCTGGCTGCCCAGCCTAAGGGGACCAGGTTGCACCTCACGGGAGGCTTTTTGTGTGCCAGGAGTAAGGAAATACCAGAACAAAGGAAAGGAAGAAGGGAAAGGGGGCAGTAGAGGGTAACAAGGATGAAGAGGGTCCCCAAAACCTTTTTAAAGAAATGGAGGAAGGCTGCCTGTGTTGCAGGTGCGGCTGTTCCTCCCCGTTCTGTTGGGTGAGAAAAGTGGTGTCTGAGGGGTCAGGTAACTGGCTCGAGGTCACGCCAACAGTCCCACATCCAGAACCCATCCAGCCAAGGGAATCATAATCTCTAGGGTCTCCACTTCTGCAAAGCGCCCTAGGCAATTCTAATGCCAGCCCAGTCCAGTGCAGAATAGAGCCTTGGGGATGAACTAGCCCAGGTGACAGTGGCCAACTTGGTTCTGAGCCTTCCCATGCAGCAACCAGAGCAAGAACTGGCCCAGAGATACAATTCTAACATACAGTAAGTGATCAAGAAATATATACATACAATTCTTTTTTTTTATTTTGGCAGTACCGGGTTTTGAACTTGCTAGGCGGGCGCTCTACAACTTGACCCA